AACTGTCTCGTTTTCAATTTTAGATGGTGCTGATCTTTCAGAATTTATTATTTCTCTGTTCTGTTTTATTAAATGTTGTATTTATTCCATCTCTCTGTTTCATTGTATAATATAAAGGTATTTGAAAGAGCTTTCAATTATGATTTGAGTCAACCAAAATCGACAAAATTTGTTAAAATATTCATACAAGCTCGAGGAGGGTGTGGGTGGCGGTGTGGATGGGTGCGGATGTGGGTGTGCGCGCGGGTGTGAGTGGAGGTGTGGGTGGAGGTGTGGGTGGAGGGGTGGGTGGGGGTGTGGGTGGAGGTGTGGGTGGAGGTGTGGGTGGAGGTGTGGGTGGAGGTGTGGGTGGAGGTGTGGGTGGAGGTGTGGATGTGGATTGTGGCTAAAGCTGTTACTGTGGCTGTTGCTGATGGTTTTATTATTCTGTTCGTTCGCACCCACACCCTTTGCGATCGGTAACCTGTCTTCGTTTAGGCAAGATATATAATTAAATTACAACGTCAGATATTTTCGACTACATGGCAAACAAAGAAGTCGTGAACAAATGAGATACGATTAGAATGCACTCTCGTCAACAATCAACTGTGCAGCGACTAAACTCTTAATGTTACGATTTGTTTTCTCACGACAGTGCTTAAAGTGCATTTTCTCGAAAGCACGAACAAGCTGTTTATGAAGGTGTGAAGATGCATAGGAATAAATCATAAATAAAGTCTTGGAAAAAAGGCGATCCTTTTTTGTCATGGCTCTCGTATTCAACAAAAATAACTTACCGTACAGTTAGAATAATAGCAGATCGACGTGGTGGATGAAATGAGCTTAATGAAGAGAAGGAGATTGGGAGAGAAGGTAAACATAGACTTGTCGATGAAATTGAGTGCAGAACATGAAATGTTCAAAGAAAAGAGAACATTGTTAACTCATAGAAGATGATGAAATGGGTGAAGTACTGTTGGTGATTGAAATGATATCAAAGAATTGAAAAGAAGGCTATAGTGAAGAAGGGAGTAAGCGAGAAATAAATAAAATAATTGAAAGGAATGCCAACAGATAGACGAAATTTGGGGTCAAGCAGAAGATCTCTAAGTTATAGGCACAGACCATAGATAGATACGGAACCACTAAGTAGTTGAAGTATCCAGGGTAGCTTAATTGATCTGAAGCAATCGACCGCATTTCGGAAGATGTGTGGTTCAATCCCACTGTCGGAGTGAATCTTTTGTGCTATGTCTTTTGTACATAGTGCGCCATGTTGAATGTGCTCTGCTGGAGCAGTCTGTATGTCTATGTGTGGTGACTCAGTCTCACTCCAACTAGTTTATGACTAAACTAGCCACATCCACAGCCCGCTTGTTTTGTTTTTTAGTTCAGTAAAATATCAGCATGCCTTTTTTCCGTTAGTCTTTCATGTTGGTTTTGCGTGAGAATAGACGGCGAATGGCTGTATCTTAGAAATATTTTTTTGTTGTGTTTTTATTTCTTGAATAAATAAAGCTCTAGCTCTTCAAAAAAACCATCTGTAGAGAACAAACGGTTTACAAAAAGTAAGCTGTCAATGTGACCGATGTATTTATTCATCTATTGTCGTTTTCTTTGTTATTTTGTCAAGAGCTTTTTTAGCTGCATCAGCAGCAGATGCGCTCTGATTAGCTGCCTTTCGTGCGTCACTTTCTGCTTTTTCAACTTTGTTTTGTAAATCTTTAAATGTATCTTCGAATGTTCTGCGTTCTTCCTTTTGATTCCTGAGTAGTCTGTCCATTTCTTTCTTTTGATTTCTGATGAGTTCTTCCATCGCTTTCGCCGTGTCTCTTGAATTACGTTCTGATTCCTCTGCTTTTCGTCTTGAAACATCTACTGCTGTACGCATATGTTCGAGATCCGTTCTCATTAGTCTCTGCAGATCATTTAGACTTGTTTGGTATGCTTGTCGTTGTTCGTCAATTGTTTGTCGCACCAAAGCCATACTATCATTGATTGCTTGTTGCATTTCTTGTTTACGTTTTTCAGTTGATAGAACTAGTTCCTGTGCTTTTTCACTTGCCGTTTTTGCTTCTTTTTCACATGTGACACTAACTTCTTGTGCTGTCTTCGACGTTACGACAGCCAAAGACGATTCCTGTTTAGCAGAGTGTGCAATGCCCAACATCTTCTCTGATGCACTCTTCATTTCTTCCTGTATTTGATTCATGCGTTTCGTTATTTGTTCTTGCAGACGTTGTTCGGATTTGTTCATTTGTTCATTTAACTGTCGTGAATGTTTCTGAAAGAGATCCTGATTTTGATGAATTAATTTTTCTGTGCAGTCCTTAAAATCTTCACCAATCTTTTGGTAGGCAGCATCGATAGATGCTTGAAATCGTTGTGTCGAACCTTTCATTTCTTCACGTAAACTGTTGACATTGATCGTAACACTTTCTTGATACTTATGAACCATATCGTTCACTTCATCTTTTGTCAGAATTATTTTTTGTTCTTTCAGTGTTTCTGCAATAGATAATGCCATGCGTTTCGTTACACCATTAGTATAAGTATCAGTCGTGGAAGAGAAAGAAGTGCTTCCTAGTAACGTGCCAACACTGTCATTAATCTTTTCGCCAAGTGCGTTTGCTTCTTCAGGTTGACTGCCACTTTTTTCCAGTTTACGATCTGCGATGATTTTCTTTATAATTGTTTCATCATCAGATTGAAATGGATCCAAGTAGACGTAGCCAAATACACCTTCAACATCAACGAATTTTGACTCCTTTTTATTACTCTCCGCCTTAAAAATGGGTCGATATACCGTTCCATCACCGGTGATCAACGAAACATAACCGAGTAGTTCACGAACTTGTACATTCACAGGCGTTCCATCCTTCCTCTTTCGTAGTACAAGCATTCGTTTAGCTAAAGATAAGCCTGTTTTTGCTTGTAATGATTCCCACTTTGATGAATCAAACAGATTTTCTTTAGCAACAAATAGCCAAAGTTGTTCTGCTAGAGGTTTATCTTTTACAATTTGATTTGTCTTCTTCTCACTGCCATCTTGTCGATTCTGTAATGTTAGAATAGAAACAAGAAATTCGACAATAAATTGTGCAACCGTGACAATTGTTCTTTCGTTTTCTGGTTCTGGACTACCTTCGACAATTTTTTTTGCTTTAGCTACAACTGTGCTCACCGCGTTACTACCTTTCACTGCCGTTGATTGAGTATCAATAGCTTGAATTTGTTGATTGTAGTAGAGTGTTAATAAACCGGCTGTCGTTGTCGCTGCCTTTTGTAGTTCTTCAATATTCCCTAAAATCGATATATTATACCATTGAGAACGCTGTCGTTTTTTGCCTACTGCTTCAACTATTCTAGTTACTGCATATTTAATTGGCCCTGTAATGGTTTCACTTAACGGAATTGCTCCTAATGGCAGAATATCAAGAGCTGTAGTTACTACATTGGCTACCGGTGTTACTAATTCAGTTTTAAACAGGTTACTTTGTGCAGCTAGAACACCGTTGAATAAACTCTGCAGACGATTTTCAATTGTTGTATAGAACACAAATAGATTCGGAGCTGTATGAACGTAATTCAATAATTTCTTCTTATTATTTGCTGTTATTTGTGCTTCTTTGAAGAGTAATGTAGATGATTCTAATGCATTCAGTGCATCTTCCGTTGTCTGTTTATCCGCATAACAATCTTTCTTCTGAATAGCAGACATTGTATCATCTATCAACTGTTTTTCATATGTTTCTATCTTCTTTTTGAATTCTTTTCTCTCCTTGTTCATTTCATTAACACTTGCATCTAAATTGGCTATTTTCTCTTGCATATCATCAAGTTCTTTTTGATACAGCTCCATTGAATCAATTTCCGTTTTAATTGAATCAATTTTTTGTAAACGTTCACCATTTTTTGAAGTCATATTTAATAGTAAATTTTTATATGTGTCTGGATTTTCTGGATCTAATTTAACATCACTGTCCGCAATCGCTTTCGATAGACCGGACATAAAACTGTAGAATATAGTTTGATATTCTTCACCAAGACTGACTAAACGACTGGCTCTTTGTTCTGTTGTAAGTTCTTGACTCAGATCTGCATAGTGTGGTTGTAACATTGACAGGACTTGATAACTTTTCTCTTGTTTTGCAATTTCAATCATTCGACGACATTGTTCAGTTTTATCTTTTAATGAAGTATATTCTTGATCAATAAATTCTTGAATAATTGACACTTCTCCATTTTTAGCTGCACGATCCAGGCGTTCGTTACTGTACTTCGGAGGTAAGATTTTCTTCGTCTTAATATCGATTTTAAAACTGGGATCGAATAATTGTATAATTTCACCATAATTTTTGTTTCTAGCAATGGTCAATGCATCTTTACCAGCTTTATTTTTCAATGTTCTCGTCGCACCATGTGCAGTTATAAAATATTCCACTACCGCATAATCACCCTTCTCAGCTGCTAGTGTAATTGGATAGTTTCCATGTTGGTCTGCTTTCATCGGATCACTACCACGGTCACACAACCATTTCACCAAGTCAGCTCCGTGATACTGGACAGCATAGTGTAAGGATGTTCTTCCCTCATCATCTGTACAATTGAAGAGGTCAGCACTCAATTTTGAAAATGCATCAATTTGACTGGTGTCATTATTCAAGATTGTCGCTAGAAATTGTGTATTCAGTTGTGTTGATAAAAAGTTATCGATTTTATCATATTTTCGTTGTTTTGCCAAATTCAACAGTGATGGTTGTGAAAAGTCGGAATGCAGCATCGATGCACCACATGATACGAGATAGTGAACAATCGGATACCTTTCACCGTGTTGAATTGTTAGTAGCAAAGCTGTTGCTCCATGGCAGTTTTTCTCATTAATATCTGCTCCACGACGATGGTAGAGTTTAATATCTTCTAATTTTCCATTTGCAGCTGCTTCACGTAAATCATGATTGAGTTTGCATCGTTTTAAATAGAATGCTATCTGTGGATTTGTACTGGTCACAGAAGTTGGAATACGAGCGCCGTGTTCACAAAGAGCACGTACTATTTCCAAATTGTTATGTTTAATAGCTTGATCTAAATTGTTGCTGTTCACCATATCAGAACTGGCGCCCGCTAGTAGTAGTTGTTTAACGAGTTGAGTGTTATTCTGAGTGACGGCATTTGAAAGTTGTTCTGTGAGTCGCCATTGTATATAGTTAGCAATGTTTGTGTATTTCTTCTTCAAAGCAGTTTCATAGGGTGAATCAGTGTTAGCAGAAAAGTTGAACATCGCTTGATAAGCGTCGGGACTATTGCACACCAGATAGTCAACAATTTCAATATTATCACTTGAGGTATTGCATGCAAGTTGAAGAAGATCAGGAGTGAGTGGAGCACCACTCTTATGGAAGGCCATGACTCGTCCAGCATTTGATTTTTTAATTGATTCAATCAATTGATCACGTGCAACTGTTGATATAAACTGGGCCACTTGACTACAAGCATATGCCATAGCATCATTCTGGTATCGTTCTTCCTGGGAATGTGGAATCTTTGTACGATATTCATTAACTGTTGTCAATGCTTTGTCATAACTGAAACGGCCGCGCTGATCTCGATAACGTACGTCAGCTGAATCAGCTATTGCATTTCGTGCCGTATTAATGTCACCGTTGGTAGCTGCCCTGTGTAGTCTTTCATTTGGAGATGAGTTAAATACATTACTGGATTTATTACTTTCTGGAGATAGATCGCTAAAAAGCGGTTGTGTATGATGAAATTGAATCGGTGCAACTAGTTTACAATAATCAAAATCGTCGCTTGGACGATGTGCTGAGCGTAGACGTGGTTGCTTCTCCTCTGCAGTGTTCGTAGGAATATCTACCAATTGTTCTAGGAATTGAATCAGTTGTTTTGTAGAATCAGATGAGGTGACTAATTGTAATGGTATTTGTTGTGCTGAATTCAACGCATGGGAATCAGCACCCCATAGAACGAGATAACGAACGACGAGAAAATGATTTTTTTTCGCTGCTTTGTGTAGTGGAGAATCTCCATTTGAGTTTAAAACATTTAAATCGACGTCGTCGAATGTTTCTCGAAGGTAATCGACGATAGGCAAGTGACCGTATTCAGCTGCAATTGAGACGGGATGATCAGCCGATTTTGATGTTGGTTTATTGTAAGATTTCGCTTTTAAATTTTGAATTAGATATTTCAATAGGTTTAAATTTCCTAATTTACAAAGTATGTGAACTACTGTCCATTCATCGTCATTCTTGTCGTTCTGCTTATGTCGATGATCTATTTGTGCACCGTATTGAACAAGTTTGGCTAATTCTTGGCTAATTTCACTTTCCTTTTCCTTACTGTGGTCATCACTATCTTGTATTACACTATGTAGACATAGTTTCCACAGACGTCGATTTAATTCTGATTAAATTAAGTCTTTGGAATTTGCTTTATTTTGTTGGTCGGCAAATGCAAGAAGATTCAATTTTAGTCTTTCATTGTAGAAGGAATCTGTTGTGAATTGCTTCAATTTGAAAAGTTCATCTGCTAATGATTCCATTGATTGATCATCATAGTCACTTACAATAAGTGTTTCAATTGAACGATGTCCGTTTAAATTCATTGCATGAATATCGGCATGATATTCATTCACAAATGTTCTGAGAAGGTCTGGTGTTGCATTCTTATTTAAAAGTAATAAATGTAGAAATGTATCTTGATTTGCATTTGTAATGGCTTTAATATCAGCACGTCTAGACAGAATTTCTCGCATAACATCAACTGGCTTGTGATCCATAATAGCTGATTTCAATTCATTATTAACAGCTTGATTTTTGAGAATATTAACTAGTTCTGCATTAATAGAGGGTTGGCTCTGTGCAATATCAATGGGAGTTTTATGTTGCTTATTTTGAAATTTTGTATTAGCATTAGCTGCTAGAAGTGTTTGACACAGCTCAAATTTATTGGCATCAACAGCTTTACAAAGGACAGTGTCACCGTTTTCATCTACCCATTCCGTATTAGCACCATTCAGAATCCATTGATGAATTTCTTCGGTTGGAATATCACGTTGAAAGGGCATTTTATTCAATAACATATTTAATTGTTGTTGTAAATAATCTATCACATGTTGTTCCTTGTTCACAGTTTCAGCTAGTTCAATACATGTTGTTTGATCTCGTTTTCCCAAAGCCAGTTTATTACGTTCATCAGATTCAATGAGAAATTGTACAATTTCCAAACGTGCCACACTACTATTCTGTCGTAACACGTATCCCAATAAACCTAATACACCGTATGTTTCACCTTGATAACAATCTGCTTCTAATGTACTGGCCAGGAATTGTATTTCAGTCATGACGCTGCCACCTTGATCCAGTGCTTTCACAAGTAATTCAGAAGCACGTTTGACTAACAGCTGAATAAATGCTTGACACATACCAGCTTCATACTGTTTCCCAGCTTGTTGATTTAGTTTCTTTTTCTGCACAATGAATGGTGTCATATAGGCGCCTTGTTTATTGGGCATTGTTATATCAGCCCCATCCCGAAGACAATTTTGAGCTAAACTGAGTGAGACATTATTCTAGATGCTATTTTCAAGAATCTTCCAAAGAGCTATTGCCAGCTTAGCAGGTGATTTCTCTTTTGAAGCTCCGGTACCCATCTGTTTAAACAATTCTAAACACGAAAAACGAAAAGAAACACGATGTGAAAGTTATAAGGTTCTTTGTTTTGGATAACAAGCATGCTTAGCATAGGGTCTAACTATCCGAAAGGACCAGTGTATTTTAGCACAATACTACCCAGGTCAAAGATGTACGGCGGGAAACGGCCGGATCCCGTGAAATTCCAGCCAATTCCTGGAAGCAGTGTTCCTAAATCGGATGCGACAACCGGATCCTGCTTAGTTCCCGCTCATTCCTGCCTTCGGGTGCGATCTTCGGTTATGGTTGTCGTTTCCGGTGCGATTCCCGACTAAGTTTCCTCTTTTAAATCACTCTAACCGGATTCGAGTCTATGCCTGCCGTTTCCGGTACCGTTCCTAACTATGGTTCCGGGGTTTCGTCCCGATCACAGGATCCGGTTATATCCCACCTCTTTCCGTTTCGTTGACAAAGCCCGCATCCGGCCTTTCAAAGACCTTTGAAAGATATTTGAAAGATCATTAAAAGACTTTGAGACATCTTTCAAAATCGCTTCGAAGACATTGAAAGATCATTCAAACATCTTTGGAAGACTTCCTGAGCCTTTCCAAGACCAGTCAAACACCTTTGGGAGACTTCCTGAGACTTTGAAAGATCTTTCAATGACCTTCAAACGTCTCTCTGATGCTTTCTCAGACATTGCAAGATTTGCCGAACACTCTTCGAGGCCCTCA